TTCTTCACTTTCTGCCATAAGGGTGGTGTCATCTGCATATCTGAGGTTATTGATATTTCTCCCAGCAATTGTGTTTCCAGCTTGTGCTTCATCCAGCCCAGCATTTCTCATGATGTACTTTGTATATGTTAAATAAGCAGGGTGACAATATACAGCCCTGACATACTCCTTTCCATATTTGGAATCAGTCTATTGTTCCATGTCCAGTTCTAACCATTGCTTCCTGACCTGCATACAGGTTTCTCAAGAGGCAGGTCAGGTGGTCTGGTATTCCCATCTCTTTAAGAACTTTCCACAGTTAGTTGTAATCCACACAGTCAAAGGCTTTGGCATAGTCAATAAAGCAGAAATAGATGTTTTTCTGGAACTCTCTTGCTTTTTCAATGATCCAACAGATGTTGGCAATTTGATCTCTGGTTCCTCTGCCTTTTCTAAATCCAGCTTGAACATCTGGATGTTCACAGTTCATGTACTGTTGAAGCCTGGCTTGAAAACTCCCTCTGTAGATTATCATTAATATCCCATCATAAATATTAATGTAATTAACAACATCATCATCATAACAGTTATGTACTGGGCTGAACATCAAATTATCTAGTAAAAATATTTCACACAAACCCTATGGCAAGTGAAACAGTGTCATTAGCTATTCCTTTAAATAGCTAATACGTGTGTGCATTCCCCTTTACCTTCAATTTTTATAGGTGAGCAAAAGGAGATGGAAGCCATCAGAGCTTAAAGTTTGGGATTAACTCAGTAGGTGTTCAGTGAGCACAATACCACCTCCTAGGAAGCAACTTGAAAATTTATGAAAGAATTTTAAAATTATTCTTAATAAAAAATTAATTTTGGAGTAGTTTGAGATTTACAGGAAATTTGTGATGATAATACAAAGAATACTGAGGTATCCCATGCACAGTTTCCTCCTGTTATTAACATTTGTAATTAGTAAGGTACATTTGTCACAAAGAAGCAATATTGCTAAGTTATTAACTGAAACCCATAGTTTATTCACATTTCTTTGTTTTTAACCTACCACCCCTTTTATTGTCCAGGATCCCACCCAAGATACCACATCCTGTCCAGTCATGATGGCTCCTTAATTTCCTATTGGCTTGGCTATGAGGGTTCTCAGATTTTCTTTGTTTTTGATGATCTTGAAAAACTTTGATGACAGTTTTGTGGAGTACTAATCAAAGAATTTTGTAAACTCTCACTCAGTTTAGATTCCTCTGATGTCTTTCTTATAATTGTGGGGTTTGGGGAGGAAGACACAGAGGTAAATTGCCATTCTCATCACACGGCACTGGTAGTACATATGATCCGTATTGACCTTCCCTGGTGGCTCAGATGGTAAAGCGTCTGCCTACAATGCGGGAGACCCGGGTTCAATCCCTTGGTTGGGAAGATCTCCTGGAGAAGGAAATGGCAACCCGCTCCAGTATTCTTGCCTGGAGAATCCCATGGATGGAGGAACCTGGTAGGCTAAAGTCTGTGGGGTCGCAAAGAGTCAGACACAACTGAGCGACTTCACTTCACATTATCAGTATAACTTAGCTGATAATGACTTTGACTAGCTGGCTGAAGCAATGTTTGTCAGATTTCTCCAATTAATCTAAGTAACTTTTCCGTCTTCCATATTATACTCTTTGAAAGTCACTATGCATAGCCCACACCCAATGAGTGGGGAGTTGAGGAGTTAATTCTACATAAATTATTTGGAATTCTTCTGCAAAGAAGAGTTGTTTCTTCTCTCCCGTTTAGTTATTCGATCATTAATTAACATTAATGTGTACTCATGAATATTTTATGTTGGATTATAATGCCATACCACTTCATTCTGTTGCTAAAATTTCTCCAGCTTTGCTGATTTGGAGCTCTTTCTGTGGGCTCCTGTGCCCTGTGAACATATCTCCTTCAGTGTGTGCACATGTGTGGGTTTGGCTTTTTGTTTTATTTGGTTTTGTGAGCACTTCTTTACTTTCTGGCACTACAAGATGCTTCAGGGTCATCACAGGTACTTACTTCCTGATTCCCAGAACCAGTTATTTCCTGGAGTCCTGCTTCCTTATTGGAGAATGGTATTAGAAACCAAGATTTGGGCATAAGACGTGCTCACTGCTACAGGGGTGTTGTTTCTCTGGGGCAATTTCAGCTGATGATGCAAAGAAACATAGGTGTGTATGCTGTAAATACAGCTAACTACAAATGTTCCCTAGATGTAACTATCTGTATCTATATTAAGATAAATATGAGTTCTTACTGATGTCTCCAACAGTAGTCCTTAACACATAGAATAGGGCCTCCTGCTCTTGTTTATTTCTAACCTTCCACTCCAACAGTGAGAAAGGTGGCTCCCATCATCTGCCACCATGTACTTAACTATCAAATTTCAGTATACATGTATGCATATGTTAGTTGCTTAGACATGTCCTACTCTTTGCAACCCCATGGACTGTAGCCCGCCAGGCTCCTCTGTTCATGGAATTCTCCAGGCAAGAGTACTGGAGTGGGTTGCCATTCCATTCTCCAGGGGATCTTCCCAACCCAGGGATCAAACCTGGGTCTCCCACATTGCAGGCAGATTTTTTACCATCTGAGCTACCAGGGAAGCTCATACATGCATAGTGGTTTCAGAATTGTTAAACTGTGCCTCTGTGGGAAGCAATTTTTATCAACTAGAGCATAATGCTCATGTGCAGTTCTTTTTGCCTTTAGTCTTAACAGACTTGTGAAAGCACTTTTTGATGGTCATAATGTTTGTAGGGGTGGCTCTGACATTTATAAGGGAGGACTCAGGAATACTAAATGTCCTGAAATGTGATGCACAATTCTGCACAAAATATTGCATACATGACTTAAACATCCCACTGGCCATGTGTGCAAGTAAAACGTGTTTATTATCTATTTTTACATGGTTTTAATTTTCATTAAACATTTCAAGAAAGTAAGTATCATGTAAATCAAGGGAAAATCATATTTCTTTTGTTCAGAATGTTACCAAGTAAACATTTACCATTTGGGGAAATAATGTCACTGATGGTAACACTGCTTGTGGTATTTGAGCTGCCAAAGCAACTTCTCTGCATCTGTTGTTGTCACATTTGTGTAATTCTATGTGTATATACAATCATGCTTATTTATTCTTTATTTTAAATGTCAAATACAAGGAAAAATTGTCTAAATATTCAACTGAATATATTTGTCTTACTTGGAGTTCCTGGTTCCAATGAAATGAAGTAGATGCTAAGTTTTTAATTGTTCTACTTCTCCTAGAAACTGGAGGAAAAGTAAAAGGAAATAAAATCCCTTAAATACATTTCAGTGAAATGGGAGAAAGCGAAAATCTGAAAATTTCAAAATTGGGCATGAGTGCTGCCCTATGGCCCCTAAGAAGTTGGCATAGGAGTTTGTAACACATGTCCTAGGGAGGAACAGAGGACTCAGCAGTAGATCTCAGAAATCTCCACAAAATGTTGTACTCTAAGAGAGGGCCCTATGTGTAGAGGAAACTGTGTTGAGCAAGACTGAAACTGGATATGACACACGAAGGGGAGAGGCAAAAATAGAATGCTCAGAAAGTGCTGGTGGACGGAGGCCCTGACGGTGCAGATTTCCCGAAGTTCCCACACACTAATAAACCTTCTAAGATTGCAGCATCTTGGAAGGTGATTACTTTGTTTCCTGGTGATGGAATCCTTTAAACAATGTGTGCAAGCCCATGGGTCCTTAACTAGGCTGGGTTTAAGAACACAGCAAGAGGAGATATGACTACACAAAGGCAGCGATTTTAAGTTGTCCCATGAGCAATGAAGCTTAGAAAGCTACCTTGGCCTCCTCCATCAGAAAAAGATGTGCCCTGGAGAAGGGATGAAAGTATTCTGGCTAATGGAAAGGATTAAGCGCCATTGTAGATTAATAACTTTGCATTATGGTATAAACCTTAGACTTGTGAGTAATTTTGGTTAATTTATCACCAAGAAACTGATCACCTTGAGGAAATGAATCAAGTCAAATTTTCATATCAGCAAGGCTAAGTCTCCAGGCCTGGACTGTATCTGTTTAGCCTGGAAGTTCTTCAGCTGAGTCTGTTGTGGCCAACCAGCCATTACCACTGTCTCATCACACTTTTATTTAATTCCAGCATAGAATTTGATTCTTTTTTTCATAAAACCAAGGAGAGAGATTTGGAATTTCGACTCAATCAACTCCTAAGTTGAAATAAGAATTGCTTTCAGAAATAATGGATTTAATTTTAAAAACTCAACTGTTTTTCAAGCAGAAGGTAAAAGAAAATTCCTCCAATGCTAATTTGTTTTCAGTGCTGACTTCCTTTAAACAGTTGAAAGCATCAAGAATAAAAACCAACAATGTTTACATTTGCAAATGAAAGTACCCAGAGAAATAAGCAATGTGTTATCATGTCATCACTATTCCATCTACAATCTGATAGAAGGAATTATGAAACTCACATTTTATTTTGCTTAAAAGAAGGGAACTAGACTGATCTTCCACACAACATCAATTTTAAATACACTGATTTTTCTTCTAGTGTATAAAATATTTTCAAGCTCTGCTTTTTAAAAAATTGTTTAAATACAAAAAAGCTAACACAAACTGCTATAACTAACCAAATGTTTTATACAGTGTTACTATGGTATCTTCCAACCCAATAAAAACAAGTTTCAAGTTAGGATTATGAGTAGTGGGAAATGTAAATTGAATCTGTGGATGTGAAGGATTTTAAGTTAAAGAACTTTAACAGAATAATTATTTAATATATAAATTCAGTAATAGATAAAAAGAAAATATTTTAACAATTACTTGATATCTCTTTCCTTTCAGGAAAAAAGTCAGTTTCTCCTTACAAACGAAGTATTACCTTACAATCAGGTAATTATAGTAAAGGAAACAATTTGATATTCTACTTTCTAAGTGAATCCTACATGTTCTTTCACTTTTTCAAAAGTCAGACAGCTAATGCATACTGAAGGAAGCACCTTTATGATGTTTGGCGTGACGCCCCTGAAAAATCCCCTTTTTCCTTCTTTGTTATATATATCTTGAATGAGCTGAATCATAGACGTTGTTCTTTTTTCTTCCAGTGCTATAAAGGAAAAAAATCAATGTAATACAATACTTAATCTAAAGATAGTTCAGTGGTTAAAGTGAGAATTCATAGAGGTTGAAATTACTTCAGAGTATGCGCCTCTCCCTACATGTAGAATTGTCCTGTGCAGTCCAAGCTGTAGTCTCTAGACACATGAAGCTACATATTTAAATTAATTAAAATTAAGCAAAACCAGAAAATCAGTTTGTCAATTGCATTAACAACATTTCAAGTGCTTGATAGCCCTGTGTCATTAATGGCTACCATACTGGATAGCACAAATAAAAAACAACTCCATCACTGCAGAAAGCCCTCTTGGACAGCACTTGAAATTCTTTCACAAAGGACCTCAAAGGAGCATCTGGAATTGTGTATGACATACATAGTTTGATAGAGGGATAGACAGATCTTCACCTGAACTGCAATATAAATAAATTTTTTAAAATCTCACTAAAAAGAGGAGAAAAACCATTTAAAAGAAGATAACTTACCACATGACCCCTTGAATAGTTAACTCAGGATGACAATCGGATTATGTGGGGTTTCTTTTTCTTATCAAAAAATGACACATGTGTTTTCTTATAGTCTAAATTCCTAATATTTCACTTGAGAGAAACAAAACAGATACCCTCTACTTAATATCTCTTGCTAAATGTACTGGAATACAAAATAACTGCATTCAGATCCACAAGTGTATTAAGTTCCTGATGTAGACTATGATAAGAACAGAACTAGGGGGAAATACGTGCATATTGAGCAAATGATGACTCAATTTGAAGAAAGAAAAATCTTTTCTATTGTTCTGCATAGAACTGCCAAATTTGAAACTCTGTGGAAATCATCAATAATTGAAGGAAATGTGGAGAGTTCCAAATAGAACTTTGGAGAAGAAATAAAATCTAAAATCCGCAAGACTCTGCAATAAAACAACAAATCCAAGATTCATGCTTTAAATATCAGAGTATTAGCTTTTGACTTTTTTTAATTAATTCTACATTTTTGTTTTTGAAATCATTAATTTCTACTCATTTAAAACAATTTACTTTTAACAGTCTTCAGTTAGTTCTTACTAATGTTTCGTTAAAATTATTTTAAATAACTTTTAAAACTTATGATTATTTCACTTATATAAAACTCACCTTGAGCCTGCATACGAGTTCTAATAAGGTTCAGAGGGAAGCTGGCCATCTGACCACAAGCATGAGACAGTGTACTACATCCCAGCAAAATCACTATTCCAGGGTCTAGAGAGCCTCTTGCGTGTTGTTCTAGCCAACGATTCTTCAAATGCTGGCAGAAAAAAAGAGTAGTAAATACCCTTAAACTACTATGCAAGTCAAGCACAGCACAGCAAGTCTAAGTAGAACCAAGCTCACTGCTTACTCAGTTTCAATAAACATTTTTGAGTAGCTTCTTGATTCAAGAATTATAAAGAGCATTTTCATCGACATCATCTCATTTAATCTCTACAGAAATTTGTTAAGTTAATGCTGTCACCTCATTTTATAAATTTTATAAATGAAGAAAGTAATTCAGAGACTAAATGAATTATCAGGTCAGAAAGCTGAAAAATAATAAGTCAAGCTTGGTCACTTGAATTTAGTAACTGTTCTTTCCAAAATCTTCACAAAAGATTGTTCCTACTCTTCCTTGTACAGAGGAGGCATCTCTGGTGTCCTATTGGGCATTGAGTGCACAGATGTTTTCAAATTAATGATTCATACAATCTCAGTGTGAGTTCTCTGCTTGCTCTCTGTTCATGCTTTATTTTGTTTTGCTTGATTGTTTTGGTCTGTGAGGATATTCAAAGACCCAAGCAAAATCTGGAGATTCTCAGAGGGATTAACAGGACACTGCAGAGAAGACTGGATAATGCACTCTAAATTAACAAATCCATATTTTCTCAAATTGTAAGAAAGATTCATCTTTCTAGATTTGCTTTTCCGTGAGTAAAATGGCCAGAAAAATTATATACAAGTAATTGGTTGAAAATATCACTAGGTGTTTTTAGAACTATTCATTAATTAAAGGATACAACTCCACCATTATATACTGGGACAATTACTATGAAATATATAATTTGACACTTTTGAAAAAATGAATTTTAAAATGTCCTTACTCAGTGTGCATTTATTAGAGTTATGCAATCATAAAGAGAGAAATGTGTAATGGCACTCTGTCACAGCAAAAAATATTTAACTGTAAAAATAAAAGAATGGAGGGAGCCCAACATAAACAGGGGCAAATAATTTATTTTAATATGATCATAGAAAAGAAAATAAATATATGGTATAATATCGAATAAATTCTATGAAAACATAACTGTATTTCTTTCACAGCTAAATGAAATTGGCTATCTTTCATATAATGGTGGTACCACTTACCAGAAATACCACTAGGCTTATACCTAGAGAGATAATTTTCTTGTATTGAGAAAGAATTTTAAGTTAATCTAGTCACATACTCTCAATGTCCTTATAACCAAGGACATTGTTGGTTGGTATATATTGTTAAATATATGGTATATATTGTTATTAAATGGTATATATTATTAAAGTGGTCTACCTGAAGCAGATGAATAGCCATAAAATGAAATGACTGGCTGAAGTAAGGGGAGCAACCTGCACTTCACTAGAAGACTATTTACACTATCGCTCTTGCCTCTCCCTCCACGCCCCCCAATTACTAGTCTCCTCAATTCTCATTTTCACAACTGTACACTATTACCTCAGTTTTCTTAGTTTTAACTGATATTACATCAGATTTTTCTAGGGAGCTAAAAAACCTGAATTTCAGGCCTCTTCCAAGAACAATGAAATCAGAATATCCTAGGATATAGCCCCAAAATCTTATTTTTTAAATATCCACAGGCAGATGATTCTGATATGCATATAGAGTTGAAAACAACTATTTTATCAGCCCTGAGGTACTTAATTATTTTTTTCAGACCCACCCCTCTTAACTATGACCTCATAACTATTCTGTAGCTTTTATGTTACTTATAATTCACAGTAAATGTCAGATGTCAACTTAATTCTTCTTCATATGGGTGTTTCAAGTTTAAGGTAACTGGTGCAATAGAAAACTGTGAGACAATCATAAAGAGTAAATTCCTAGGTAAAAAAATGAAATGATAAGTTTAGAGTAGAATATTTAGAATTTGAGTAATCGCCACAAATAGCTCTGGAGTATATTCAGCTCAGTTTGGGGGTTTTATTGTTCTTTCTTTTTTTAATTAAACTATAGTTGATTTATAATGTTGTGTTAGTTTCAGGTGTACATCAGAGTTTTGTATGTATGTAAGTTTTCAGATTCTTTTCCACTAGACAAGATATACTGAATATAGTTCCCTGTGCCATACAGTAAATTCTTGTTTATCTATTTTATATATAGTAATGTATATTTGCTAATTCTATGCTCCTAATTTGTAGCCACTTCCCCTTTGGTAATCAAATAAGCCATATGTTTATTTTATGTGTCTCTGAGTCTGTTTCTGTTTTGTAAATTAAATCATTTATACTATTTTTTAGATTCCACATATAAGTGATCAAATTGCCAACATAAGTTGACAGAAAAAGCAAGAGAATTCCAGAAAAACATCTACTTCTGTTTCATTGGCTACACTAAAGCCTTTGACTGTATGGAACACAACAAACTGTGGAAAATTCTTAGAGATGGAAATACCAGACCACCTTACCTGCCTCCTGAGAAATCTATATGCAAGTCAAGAAGCAACAGTGAGAACTGAACATGGAACAAAGGATTGGTTCCAAACTGAGAAAAGGAGTACGAGAAGGCTGTATATTGTCACCCCCCTTATTTAACTTATGTGCAGGGTACCTCATGTGAAATTCTGGGCTGGATGATTATTTAACTTATGTGCAGGGTACCTCATGCGAAATTCTGGGCTGGATGAAGCACAAGCTGGAATCAAGACTGCCAGGAGAAATATCAATAACTTCAGATATGCAGATAACACCACCCTAATGGCAGAAAGGAAATAAAGTTTTGCACTGTTTCCATTGTTTCCCCATCTATTTGGCATGAAGTGATGGGACCGGACGCCATGATCTTCGTTTTTTGATTGTTGAGTTTTAAGCCAGCTTTTTCACTCTCCCTTTCACCTTCATCAAGAAGCTCTTTAGTTCCTCTTTTTTGGAAAAATGTCTCTTTAGGACTTCTGTCCATTTTTTGGTTGAGTTGTTTGTTGTTGTTTTTCTTTTCCTTTTTTGATACTAAGGTATTTTTACATTTAGAAATTACGCCTTTGTCAGTTACATTGTTTGCAAATATTTTCTCTCATTCTGTAGGATGTACTTTCATTTTGTTTACAGTTTCCTTTTCTGTGGAAAAGTATTTCCCATTTGCTTATTTTTGCTTTAGACTCATTTAAGAAAACATTGGTACAGGAAGGGATACAAGATGGTAGAATAGAAGGACTTGAGCTCACCTTCTCTCAGGAAAACATCAAAATCACAACTAACTACTAAAGAACCATAGATATTGGCTAATTCATTTCAATGTATGATAAAAACTACTGTAATGATGTAAAGTAATTAGCCTCCAACTAATAAAAATAAATGGAAAAAAAAATAAATAAAAGACTACTTGTGGAAAAAAAAAAAAAAAGAACCATAGATAAAATATGCACTACTAGATAAAAGATCAACAAGGACCTAATGCATAGCACAGGGAATTCTATTGGGAAAAGAATTTAAAAAGAAGGGATATATGTATATGTATAACTGAATCACTTTGATGTACACCAGAAACCAATACATTATACATCAACTATCCTACAATATAAAATAAAAAAAAATTTAAAGCAAAATATTGGTATGATTTATGTCCAAGAATGTTTTGCTATGTCCTATTCTAAGAGTTTTATGGGGTTATGTATTATATCTAACTCTTTAGGCCACTTTGAATTTATTTTTGTGTATGCTGTGAGGAAGTGTCCTAACTTCACTGATTTACATGAGGCTGTCCAGCTTTGCCAACACCACTTTCTGAAGAGGCTGTCTTTTCTCCACTGTATATTCCTTTCTCCTTTGTCAAAGATTAATAGATCACAGGTATGTGTGTTTATTTCTGGGCTCTCTACTGTTCAACTGATCTAGATATATATGTTTTTGTGCCAATGACACGCTTTTGATTACTGTAAATTTTGTAGTATTGTCTGAAGTCTAGGAGGGTTATGCCTCCATTTTATTCTTTTTCTTCAGTATTGCTTATGCAATTCTGTTCCACATAAATTTTAGTATTATTTGTTCTAGTTCTGTGAAAAATGTCATGTGTAATTTGATAGGGATTGCATTAAATCTATAGGTAGCATTGTGTAGTATGACCAATTTAACAATATTGATTTTTCCAATCCAAGAGCATGGGATATCTTTCCAGTTTTTAAATCATCTTCAGTTTCCTTTATCAATGATTTATATTTCTCAGAGTACAGGTCTTTCACCTCCTTGGTTAGGTTTATTTCTAGGGTTTTTTGGTCCCAATTTTAAACAGGAATTTTTTTAAACTTTCTTTTTGTAATATTTCATTGTTAGTGTAAAGAAACTCAACAGATTTCTGAGTGTTAATCTTGTACATGCTACCTTGCTGAATTCATTATTTCTGGTAGTTTTTATGTGGAGTCTTTAGGGTTTTCTATACAGAGTATCCCATTATTTGCATATAATGACAATTTTACCTTTTCCCTTCCAATTTCCATACCTTCTAGGTTTTTTTGTTGTTTGATTGCTGTGACTAGGACTTCTAATACTATGTTGAATAGAAATGGTGAGAGTGGGCAATCCTTGTTTTGTTTCACAATTTAGAAAGAAGGCTTTTATAATAGCTTTCACTGTTGAGTATTATATTGCTGTGGGTTTGTCATAAATATTCCCTCTATATCCTTTTGGTGAGAGATTCTATCATGAACGGATGTTGAATATTATCAAATGCTTTTTCTGTATTTATTGAGATGATCATGTGGTTTTTCATCTTTTCTTTTGTTGATGTGCTGTATCGCACTGATTGATTTGTGTATGCTGAACCATCCTTCTGACCCAGGGATGGATCCAACTTGGTTGTGGTGCATGATCTTTTTTATGTGTTGCTGGATTTGCAAACAAAATGTGTTTTGATTTGTAACAAAAATGTGTTGAGCATTTTTGTACCTATATTCATCAAAGACACCGGCTTGCAATTTTCTTTTTTTTGTAGTATGTTTGATTTGCTATCAAGGTGACGGTGGCTTCACAGAAAGGTCTTTCTTTATTATTACCAAAAACTAATTCAAACAAAAAAACACAAAACAAAAAGTTATCACTAGACTAGAAGACAACTAACATATAAAAAGAAAAGCCAAATAAAACAATTTAGTTTACTTCTTGGTTGGAAGCTATTTCATGAAAAGTCCTTTATAGCCAGATTTTTAGAATAAAAACTAGTATTGAATCAAATTTTCAAATCTAATACAAAACATCATGTTATAAGAATAAGCTCACCTCATAAACACAAAGATCTATGCCTGCATAAGGTATGATTCCTAGCAAGTTAGGAATATAACCTTTGAAAAAGGCTCTAGCACCTTCTTGCTTCAGAAGCTGCTTGCCACAATCAATAATCCCTGAGTACTGTCCAGTTTTACCTACAGCCAGTCTGGTCTTTATAACCTAAATGTGAAAGAATACAATAAAAATATATTGGTCAGATTCACTCAACTCACCGAGCAATCTATTAAACTGTGTTAGGTCAGGATGTTTGCTAATTATCATAGAAATAAAAAAAGAAAGCAATCTCAAATATAATTTTAACTTTTTGCTAACTCTTAATTATAAACAACTGATACAGTACAGAGATTTTTTTTTAATTATTTAAACAGGAAAATATCTGTGGCGTTAATTGATATACCCACTCAAACACCTTTCATGTGCTATAAGGAAACATATTCTAAAACAAACCAGCTGAGATAACATTATTGATTTAAGATTAAGCAATAACATTCTTGAGGCAAGAATACTGGAGGTGGTAGCCATTCTCTTCTCCAGGGGATCTTCCTGATGCAGGGATTGAACCTGGTCTCCCGCATTGCACACAGATTCTTTATTGTCTGAGCTACCAGGGAAGCCCAAAATAAAGCAGCTATAGCCAAAATTCAAGTTTTAAAAAAGTATATGGTCATGGTGAAGTGAACAACAAGTATGGAAAAAACATTCTATAATATGCTAAAAATACACATTCTGGAAACTATTGTTAACAACAAGGTCTATAAACTAATTTAATATAACTTGGGTTCATTTTGTGCTCATAAAGTAATAACATAACATGGGTTATTAAGACAATATAGCCTCTTGTAGGCTGTCTGTGATCCATATTCCTATGTTTAGTATAATTCTTCTAATAGAACTTCACTTATTTGGGTGCTCAGGGCTGGTGCACTGGGAAGACCCAGAGGGATGGGATGGAGAGGGAGGTGGGAGGGGGATTGGAATGGGGAACACATGTAAATCCATGGCTGATTCATGTCAATGTATGGCAAAAACCACTACAATATTGTAAAGTAATTAGCCTCCAACAAATAAAAATAAATGGAAAAAAAATAACTCACTTATTGTCCTTTTAATTTCTATTAATCTAATTTAAGGGAGTTCCAGATACACTTCTCAAAGGAGGAAATGGCAACCCACTCTAGTACTCTTGCCTTGAGAATCCCATGGACAGAGGAGCCTGGCCAGTTCTGGCCCATAGGGTTGCAAAAAGTCAGACACAACTGAAGTGACTTAACATGCACACACGCAGATATACTTGGAGAAATGGCTCTCTAAAATATCCAAGACAAGAAAAACACAAACATTGTCTTGATTGGACAACTGTATGTCTTGATGGAGCTTCCTCTGAGTAGTCAGTTGGCCCTCTGTACGAACTTCTCTGTAGGACCCAACACTTCGGATAATCCCATTCTTAAAACTCTTTGCCTTCTCCAGGGCAGTGCCCTCTCTTCTTACCCAAATAAATTTTTTCTGTCTGCTTCCCTGGCATGTTTTTTGTTCCTTTCATTCTCTAAACTAAGATTTTCTCAAAATTTAAAAATAAAATTATGACTTATTTCTAAGCAATTTCAAGGCTTTAACTAACACTTCTTCACAGATGACATGTCAAGACTTGAAATCTCTCAAGTCTTATTATTACATTTGCAACCGCCTATAGAAAATCATAGCTCAGTTGCCCACCAATAACTCAAATTAAATACAGGCAAACCTGAACTCATCATCTTTCAGAGTCTGGCTCACTTCCTCCCTTCTGTACCTCTGTTAGAGACCTAACTCAGATATAACTCTCCTAAACACTTGGGCACAGAACCCAGACAGAACTTGGTCATCTTCCTTTCCCTTTCTTCTGTTTTCCATTGCTCAAGTGATCTTATGACTATTCTAATAACTCTAATGTGAGTCAGTTTCTCCTAGTCAATATCATATGTCAAGTCCTTATTATCACTTCTCTGAATAATAGCAATATCTTGTATCTAGTCATCTCATTTCTCTAGTCTCTGCTTCTCTAAAAAACTTTACCAGGATTACACTTCAAGCTCCAAAGTCTTTAATGGCTCTTATTTTTTAAGAAATTAAAGCTAAATTTCTTAAGTTGCATTGACGAGCCATTCTGATCTGGTCCCAACCCATTATTTATAGTATTGTCCTATCTACACCTGAATATCTGCTCTTATACGCCCATTCCTTTGCTCAAGTTGTTATTTACACTTAAAATCCACTTCCTCATCATCTCCAAACATCCAAATTCTAAGTCAAACTCACACATTCAACTCATGTCCTTCATGAAATCCATTAACTGGGATAATATCTCCCTTCTGAATTTCCATAATACTTGGTGTTGATCTCCCTTCTAGAATTTATATTTATATTTGGACCCACTCCATTTTTCTGACCTGGAGAATTCCATGGACTGTATAGTTCTTGGGGTTGCAAAGAGTTGGACACAACTGAGCAACTTCCACTTTCACTTTTCATCATTACTGATATACATATTCTATCTCCCCTTCTGGACTATATAAGCTCCATGACCAAAATGCCTGTCTGATTCAACTCTGGATCCAGAGAAGTACTTTAAAGTTTGTGGATGTTCAATACAAATTTGATTTTATTAATGAATAAGTGATCCTATCAATTAATTAATCAATGAAATTATTTATCTTCTTAGTACAATACTAATTTTTTCCTAAACCAAAAAATACTGGGCAACTGACAGTTACTAAGGGCAAGTGACACTTCATGTGAGACACATCTTATAGCTATAAAGCTATTTATTGTATAAAATACTGATCTGTGATTCACTTATTTTTTTTAATTACAATTTGCATTAAAAACATTCCTTTGGTTAAAATTTTGTAATAGTACATACCTCCATAGGGTAAATACAGGTCTGTGCAGTTGCACCAGCCAATGAACCAGATATAAATCTTTCAATAATTCCTATTTTAGCACCATCAGAACTAAGCCATTTCTTATACTGTACAAATAAAAATATTAAAATGTATAAAATTACTGAAATGGAATATACATCGTTTATGATATTAATATTAATAACAATTATTTGAAAAAAGTATTTCAGACACCCAACATTAGAATATCTAGTAGAATATCAAGTAGAATATCTGATTTTAATTTTATGCAATTAATTGTCTAAGATAATAAGTAAGACCCCTCTATTTTGGCCTCCTTTTCCTCTTTTTTTCTGCAGAAGAAGTTAGCTATTCATGAATTCATAAAAGTATTTCATAAAAGGCATGCAAATGACACAAAGAAACTATATTCTCTTATCTCTTTTTAGCCCCACCCCTTACACATGAAACACACTTCCTATTGTTTGGATAGTAGATAATCAGGAATAGTAACTTTATGTGAGAGGCTTTGTGTTACAAAGAACAACAGTTTCCTGTTGTTAGCTTAATAACAGAGGTTATTGAATTACATGCGGAAATAAGGAAAACAGAAATATCAGTGTAAAGGTCAGGCTTCACAGGGACTAAACTAAGTTTCATGAAAATTGAAACTGGAAACTCATTTAGGATCCAAGATAACCTCAGCTAGCAGATTATCTTGTTACTTCCTAGGCAAATGTTTTTCCATTTGCCTCTTCTGATGGTCCTTCATCAACATGATTCAGCCACTCTCTATGAACTAACTCTCTGGTCCTCAAATCAGTAACTCCCCATCAGAATGTGTGATGGTTCACTTAACGTGTCAGAGACTGCTATCTGTTCCCACGCGTGTGTGCTAAGTCACTTAAGTCAAGTCCGACTCTGTGACCCTGTGGACTCTAGCCTACCAGGCTTCTCTATCTATGGGATTCTCCAGGCAAGAATACTGGAGTGGGTTGCCATTTCCTCCTCCAGGGGATCTTCCTGACCCAGGGATTGAACCTGCATCTTTTACATCTCCTTCATTGGCAGGTGGGTTCTTTACCACTAGGACCACCTGGGAAGCCTAGTACTATCTATTCCCAGTCTTATTTGTTCCCAATACCCTTTATCTTTTTCTTCCTTTTAGTGTAACACACCTGACTCAGCTACAAACTACGGTTTCCTCTTCTTCCTTGCAATAAACTGTATGTTTAAATGATTAATTTTGGCCAATGAGATGTGAGGGGAAGTTAAATATGGAAATTATGAGACATCTCCTTAAACTGAACTATCCTAAACTCTTTTTTCCTCCACCTGGGAAATGGCAAAGATGGGTGCAGCCTTGGAACACATATATTGAAGATGGCAGAGTTGTACAGCTAGCCCCAGACCACTTGCTTCTATCTTACTTAAGCTACTGTATTTTGAACTCCCTTTGTTAAAACATCTTAGAAAGAACCTTAAAGAGTACAAAGATTGGTTACTAAATGGAAGGTAATGCCATTACTAAAACCTAAAATATGTGGCAATGGCTTTATTATTAAGATACAGATATTACAGTCTAAGAAGGTGTTATCTTTCTAATGCTCTGTGGAACTGCTTGATAAAATTACCTCCTGTGATAACTTAGAAGGAAGACCATGTGCTTTTTGAGCCTGAAGTTACAGGAAAACTAACTGTAAAACCTCAGAGTGCTGGAGAGTGTTGCCTGTTCCTTGCTGCTTTTAGCAAGATCTGTGAGACAGGAGCTAAAGCATCTCTCTGCCTGTCTGCCTTAAGGCCTTCTCAAAAGCTAGTTTGTAAGCACAGTTGGAAGGAAATAGAGCTCTGCAAAGGGATTTGTCACTGCCTGACTTAATTTCATCAAGAAATGTGGAGCTTCCAAGTAAGGAAAGTTACCAGCACAGAACCTGGTAATGAGATTGTCCTAAAGAACTTATCTACAAAAATCACATCGAGGGTGTTGTCGTCTGTCAGGCTATTATTTCAGTTAACATCAACATAGCATACTACAAAAAAATGACAAAGGGAAGGAATGACTGAGCATAGGAACTGGAAAATAAAATATCAGGAAAAATATTTTTGGGTGTGGCTACTTTGCATGTATTGACTGGAAACAGACAGGAAGTAAAAGAACTATATTGCTAGAAAGCCCATGAGCATAGCCTATAAAATCCTGTATTTTTAATACAAGCAACTCCTCCAGCTCAACTCCAGAAAAATAAATGACCCAATCAAAAAATGGGCCAAAGAACTAAACAGACATTTCTCCAAGGAAGACATACAGATGGCTAACAAACACATGAAAAGATGCTCAACATCACTCATTATCAGAGAAATGCAAATCAAAACCACAATGAGGTA